ATAAGGAGAAATGTTTAGGGTGTAATAGGTTTTTTATAATTTTCGAAAATAAAATCAGATTTAAAAATAATGGCAATTTGGTAAATAGGTGGAAACATGAGGAGAGTTTAGGTTTTTTAAGAGTGAATAGTAATGACAAAAAAAAGAGGTTGGTTTTGTGTTTGACTTGAATTTTTGGGTTGGTTTTGCAAAACCCCCTTCTGTTAAAGTGATACAAATTAATAAACTTATATCTTTTTATTGGACAGATGTTAAAAAAAACAATAAACAACATCACTTACTATCACTGATAAGGAAAATTTGGATTCATGAACATAATAGAATCTATTCTATTAAAATAAAGTCATTTTTTATCTACCGATCCAAGTTGTTATTTAAATTTGGACAATTTCTAGAGTGTTACAAATAATACAAGTTATATAGTTGATTGACCGCATTACTTAAATTAAACCGGCGGTTATTTATGGAATATAGTTTTGGGCTTACTTTTGTTTTTATGACATTTAATTGTTTGGTTTTTGGGCTTAGTATTAAAGAAAAACTCCAAAAAACATTAAATAAACTTTCCACCTTAGTGGATCAAAAATCAATTACTATTTTCAGGCCCAAAAATATTTAATATTTTCAACAAAACAAAATTATCTACTATTAATCACTTATTTAAATCATGTACTTTAAAACATGTTAATATTTTTTAGCCCAAAAATATTTAATATTTTAAACAAAACAAAATAATCTATTATTAATCACTTATTTAAATCATGTACTTTAAAACATGTTAATATTTTTTATTTTAAATAACAATCACTCTATCTTGATAAATTTTAATGGTAACTTTTAAATAATTTATTGTTTTATTTTTCTTAAATAATTTATTGTTTTATTTTTCTTAAATAATTTACAGATTTAAAAAAAATGTAAAGCAAAACCAAAAACCAAAACTAAAAACTAAAATCCAAAACCAAAAGCTGAAAACGCAAGTTATATTTTTTATTTTTTTTATTTACAAAGTAAACTATTTCAAAAATTTTAGAAAATTATTTTGTCATCTTTTCAGTTTTAAATTACATGTTCAATTAATTGAGATTTGTTTGTTGGTAATATCAGTTCAAACTAACTCAGCGGGTATCTAAAAATTGAAAACCCAAACCAAAAGCTAAAAATCAAAAATAGAAACTTAAAAACTAAAAACCAAAAACCAAAATTTAAAACAAAATCTGAAAATAAAAACTGAAACTAAAAACTAATAAAAACAACTATCACCACAAATTTTGGTAAACTAATTTTATACCAAAATATTCTTTTAAATTAAGACAAAACCCAATTATATAAATTTTTAATCATAAAAAATTTCCGCGCTTTTTAAGCGCGGGTCAAAATCTAGTCAAAATTAAGTTTATAACCATAACAATAAATAAGGTATGATATTTATGTATTATTTGCCATATTACCCTCTCTCACTTTCCCTTCTCTATTTTAATTAAATTTATAAGTTTGAAAAATTATAATTTGAATTATTTATATACTTATTAAAAACATAGATTATTTACGTATAGGAAATGTTTTGAATTTATAAAACTAACATATATGTATAAAATTGAATATATACAGTTATAATAAAACTTTGTTCTATTCTATTTCAGAAAACTAAATAGAATAGTAATGACAAAATTTGTCTTTCCTTCACTCCTTCATTCTATTTCCTTTACCCTTCATTTTATCTGATTTCCCAATCTATATCTACATCTCCTCCCTCTTTTCTTTCTCCTTCTCTCTTTTCTTCCGCCTTTCACTTCATTTTTTCATGTTTTTATCTTTTTTAACATGTAATGTTCAAACGTTATATATTATTCTATTTTCAAAATATAAAATAGAATTGAAATTATACAGTTTTATCTTTCTCTAGCCTTTCTTTCTCTCTCTCTCTCTTTCCTTTTCCCTCTCCTCCCGCCCCCTCTCTCGTCCTCCTTACTCTTTTTCTTCAACATCCCAATATTTTCTTTATACTCTTTTATTTATTCGACGCCATTCATCTCGTTCCTCTTTCTAGTTAATTCCGTAAACTTTTTCTTCACTTTTTTTCATCATCTTCATCCTTACTTTATTCTTCTATCCTTACTTCTCATATTTTTTCATATACTATACTATATATTTATACAATATAGAATGGTATATTTTATTCTTTACAACATATCAACTAAATATGTTATTTCACATCATCTATTTTATTTGTTCTACGGATAAATATACTTTTTCATATTATCTCTTGTTTAAATTGCATTGAATCCTCTAAATAAATAGTACCAAAAAGATCAAATTGTTCTTTATTATTACATCTACGTTTGAAATAATCTATTCTATATCACAATACAAATAGAATAGTATTTAACTGAAGCGTGTGATATACACACTCACGTGCTGTGAAGGACAAAAATGTATAATTATGTAACAAACTGACACATCTCTCAAGATATGGCTATATTCTTATTGCTGGTCATGTGATTCATTCCATTCGAGAAACCCGCTAAAACATTTTGCGACTAGATCTCGGTGAAATAACTTTTGGTAAAACTCCGCGAGTGACTCCAAAAAAACTATCACCGAAGAATCAAAAACTAAGCGGAAAGGTTTCTCGAAAAATCTGCGGAAAACATTGTTAACCCAATGTGTCATGCCGATTTACTAATTTCATCGCCCGTTACTTACGTGAGAAATCCTTCGTATAGTCAGGATCATGTCATAACAAAGTAACTTTCGAAAGTAAACGTAACAGGTTTTTCGGAAAGTACTTTCCTTATAGCGAAAACCAAGCTATACGATCCGGTGCTGAACGACCAATCTAAACTTTGCTTCCTCGCGCCACAATCTGAAAGATCTGACTCTTTAGCTCTTCGGTTCACGAGCATCCGCTCTCATTCCTCCCGATTACATCCGAGAATGAGACCGCCCCGCAAATGACTCCGCACGGGCTCTGCATCGAGCTTCTTAGGATCTGTCTCCCTCAAGTAAAAAAGAAACAACCTCCATACGAACATAGGAAAGATTATACGAAACTTTCATCGTGTGAATCGAACCAAAAACGGAAAAAACATTTTCTACAACCATGAGCATACTTGGCATATCAATCTCGACAAACGCTACTTGGCCCTTGTCCGATCACACTTCGCTTCGATGACCGGGTCCTAGCCTACAAACTGAGTCGACTTCATAGCACGAGAGTGTCATGGTCTAATCCTTTACCAACTACGTTCTTGGCTATGCGGCTGAATACAACATTCACGCCAAGCCAATACGTTCAGTGGCTAATGCAAACTTGTCGAAAATCGGCTAAGTTCTTTGTTCTCACAATTCACTCTATTTCAGAACCAAGATGCCTACAAAATCCGACAGAGCTCCTGAAGCCATACGAGTCTCGGAAGGTCAACACTTCACAAAGCACCGTAACGAAAAACACTTCGTTTCAGGGAAACAACTTACGCGACCTCTCGGTCCTAATTTCTCTAGCACAAATCATAAAACTACCTAACATCCAAACAGGAATGTAAGTTTTAATTGCGAATATCTGCAAACGAACCAAAGTGTTCCTGCAAAGCAGGGTTAAGAAAACCCTCGCAACGCCGCACAACATCTTCGAGCCTGCAAACGTT